TGTAGCACACTTTTAGGCTAGGTTCACATATTGGCAATCCCAGGACGCGCGTCCCGGGACCACACGATCATGCACGATTGCACACAGCCATTGCCGCATGGCCCCATTTTTTTAAATGGGGATATATCCGTGCGGTTTTGTGCACGATTGCTGCGCGGTCACGCGTCGCCCTAGTGTGAATGCCTGAAAAATAACCTGTGAGCAGGGCTGGATTTACTCTCTCTGCTGCCCCAATGCCAGGTTCCTCAATGCACAAGTGATCTTGGCTACATCGCCGAGATCACTTTTACAAAACAAGTGGCGGCTTCCCCGCTGTACATTTAGCCCTGCTTGCCCAAATCAGGGCTAAATGTAGAAAACAACTACCCGCCCAGCACTCGAAACTGCACGTCCCGGGTGTCGGAAAATAGGAATTCCACACGCCTGCTGCCCTTCTACTCTCTGCTGCCCCAAGGCCGGGCCTTGGTTGGCCTTGTGGGAAATCCGGCCCTGCCTGTGAGGATGTAAATAAATCAATGTGCCACCAATGTTTTTAAAGGCTCAGGCTCTGCTATCATCCCGATCCTGGCTTCAATAATCAATTAATGACCTGCAACAGGCATGTAGGACAGGAATGCAACTTCTTTAGGCATGTTTAAGGTACGAAGTGAAGATAGGCTCAGGATGATAACAATGAAAAGTGTCCGTTTACAAATGTAATGCCGGAAATTCTAAAGTAGAAGGATTAGCATGACAGAAAATCAAATAGTTTATTAGAGGAGGATAGTAATGGAAGCCTTATACCTATCAGCCTTGATTTCCCTCGCTAAATAAGACTTTATGTGTAATAAAGAATAACAGAAATATGAGTAAACTACCTTTTCTGCAAACACTTCAGGGGACATCTCCTGCACTTTTTGGATGGCTTTGTACATCATGTCTTCCCTGTATTCATTTACACTGTCATGTTCAGCAGCTCCCGATGAATTGGAGGCAACCAGAACAAGTTTGCTGGCCTCTGCTCTGGCTCGTCCACGTGCCTAGTGGTGACAAAGCAAAAAAAAAAAAGTGAAAACATGTTATAACTGTAACAAAACCCACTTCTGAAGAGAGTCTACATCCCTGATCCAATTTTTCTCATCTTAACCAAACTCCCCTGCCACTCCATTCCTCCATCTGAGTTGGTAGTCCAAGCCCTGGACACTTGCTCACCCAGTGCCAAAACCAAAAACAAGCCTCTTTAATAACACTTTGCAAAAATCTACAGCCAAGCAATCCAGATCAGTCTACCAATCAGAAATCAGCTTTCAACAGTTGAATGGGTAGCTGTATTTTTACTTAAAGGAGAACTATCAGTGCTTTTCCCCATAGTTCTCCTAAGGGTAACGGGAGGACACAAACTAGCGTCCTCCCGTCACCCTAGGCTCAGTATACTGAGACGCCACAGCTGAAGCGGATCCCGACAATTATGTCTGGATCCGCCCAGCTGCATAGAGGTAACTTATGGGACTGGTGCTGTAGCCCCCAAATATTTTTTTTACTGTAGCACACTTTTAGGCTAGGTTCACATATTGGCAATCCCAGGACGCGCGTCCCGGGACCACACGATCATGCACGATTGCACACAGCCATTGCCGCATGGCCCCATTTTTTTAAATGGGGATATATCCGTGCGGTTTTGTGCACGATTGCTGCGCGGTCACGCGTCGCCCTAGTGTGAATGCCTGAAAAATAACCTGTGAGCAGGGCTGGATTTACTCTCTCTGCTGCCCCAATGCCAGGTTCCTCAATGCACAAGTGATCTTGGCTACATCGCCGAGATCACTTTTACAAAACAAGTGGCGGCTTCCCCGCTGTACATTTAGCCCTGCTTGCCCAAATCAGGGCTAAATGTAGAAAACAACTACCCGCCCAGCACTCGAAACTGCACGTCCCGGGTGTCGGAAAATAGGAATTCCACACGCCTGCTGCCCTTCTACTCTCTGCTGCCCCAAGGCCGGGCCTTGGTTGGCCTTGTGGGAAATCCGGCCCTGCCTGTGAGGATGTAAATAAATCAATGTGCCACCAATGTTTTTAAAGGCTCAGGCTCTGCTATCATCCCGATCCTGGCTTCAATAATCAATTAATGACCTGCAACAGGCATGTAGGACAGGAATGCAACTTCTTTAGGCATGTTTAAGGTATGAAGTGAAGATAGGCTCAGGATGATAACAATGAAAAGTGTCCGTTTACAAATGTAATGCCGGAAATTCTAAAGTAGAAGGATTAGCATGACAGAAAATCAAATAGTTTATTAGAGGAGGATAGTAATGGAAGCCTTATACCTATCAGCCTTGATTTCCCTCGCTAAATAAGACTTTATGTGTAATAAAGAATAACAGAAATATGAGTAAACTACCTTTTCTGCAAACACTTCAGGGGACATCTCCTGCACTTTTTGGATGGCTTTGTACATCATGTCTTCCCTGTATTCATTTACACTGTCATGTTCAGCAGCTCCCGATGAATTGGAGGCAACCAGAACAAGTTTGCTGGCCTCTGCTCTGGCTCGTCCACGTGCCTAGTGGTGACAAAGCAAAAAAAAAAAAGTGAAAACATGTTATAACTGTAACAAAACCCACTTCTGAAGAGAGTCTACATCCCTGATCCAATTTTTCTCATCTTAACCAAACTCCCCTGCCACTCCATTCCTCCATCTGAGTTGGTAGTCCAAGCCCTGGACACTTGCTCACCCAGTGCCAAAACCAAAAACAAGCCTCTTTAATAACACTTTGCAAAAATCTACAGCCAAGCAATCCAGATCAGTCTACCAATCAGAAATCAGCTTTCAACAGTTGAATGGGTAGCTGTATTTTTACTTAAAGGAGAACTATCAGTGCTTTTCCCCATAGTTCTCCTAAGGGTAACGGGAGGACACAAACTAGCGTCCTCCCATCACCCAAAGCTCAGCTGTAGCTCGCGGTATACTGAGAATGAGAAACCGCAGCCGGAACGGATCCCAACAATGCTGTCTGGATCCACCCAGCTGCGTGAGTGACAGCTGGCTCTGTCTATCTAGAGGCAGAGCCAGCTGTACCCGCCCCCTCCCCCGTCCGACTGTAATGACTTCATTTATTCCACCCTGATTAGCAGGGAAGCCGTCTCCATGCTTCTCGTCACTAGATGACGAGGAAGCATGAAGCCGGCTTCCCGGCCAATCAGAGAGCCGGGCAGCGAGTCATTACGCGCTGTCCAGCTTCCTGATTGGCCAGGAAGCCAGCTCCATGCTTCCTCGTCACAAGGGAGCATGGAGCCGGCTTCCCGGCCAATCAGGAAGCCGGGCAACGTGTAATGACTCGCTGCCTGATACCGGAAGTATCGGGTATCAGGCTCGGCATTGGAGCATTTGGGCCAGTACGAGTACTAGCCCAAATACTCAGCATCGGCTCAGATGGTTAAGAAACTGGCCAATCAGGAAGCCGGGCCACGCGTCATTACAAGGCACCCGGCTTCCTGATTGGCAGGGAAGCCGGCTCCATGCTCCTTCATCGCCGGGTGCCAAGGGAGCATGGAGACGGCTTCCTCGCCAATCAGCGTATAATGACTCGCTGCGCGGCTTCCTGATACCGGAAGCTCAAGTATCGGGCTGGACGAGTACTCGCCCAAATACTCGGCACCGATACTAGTATCGGTGCATCCCTAACATACACTTTAAAACTGAACTCCGGCCTTCCCTTCAGTCTTGCAGTTGTCTAGGCTCATTTCCTGGCTGGGGGACATACAGCATCATCTAGCGCTTTCCTCCTAAACCGGACTGTTCCTGGCTATACACTGAGGGGGATTTATCGAAAGTGGAGCAGACAAAATCTGGAGCAGCTGTGCCTGGCAACCAATCAGCTTCTCTCTTTCATTTTCACATCTTAACTGAGCAAACTGAAGAGAGAAGCTGATTGGTTGCCCTGGGCAACTGCTCCAGATTCTGTCTGCTGCAGTATTGATAAATTCCCCCCACTGTGTATTGAACGTGATGACTCACAGGACCTTAGACCGACGGTCTAAAGGCCGTGACACACTGCACGCATAGCCGTGCAGAGCGAAGCAAAGCTTTGTGTGCAGTGTGTGAGCTGAGTGCAGTCAGATGATTGACTGCACCTTCAGCCAATCGGCTCGTCTGTAACAACCAGCCAGATGTCGCATGCCGACGCGCTGGTTTATACGTGCGAGCCCATTGGCTGAAGATGAAATTTTTCATCTCGGCACACTCAGCTACGCAAGCTCCCGCAAGCTGAGCTGCCGAGGAGAAAATTACATCACACACTGCTCACAAAGGCAGCGTGCCACCGCTCCACGCTGCTTCGCGTGCAGTATGTCACAGCCTTAAGGGGGAGTGAGGCTGCAGGGACCGGTCTAATAGCCAGAGGGCTGTGAACGCGATTTCCCGCTATGCTGAGGTGTAAATGGGGCCTTGTACACAAGTGGTAGAATTAGTTCCTTTCTTTCTGTACATCGTCTGGCAAAAATGAAACCCGAGATATGCAGGGGTCAATAATCATGCGGTGCAGAAGTTCCCGCGCCGGCAGATCCAGGGAGAACTCTGCAGCTGGACAGCCAATAGGAATGATGGACATCTATGAAAGGACCCGCCCCCTGTGCGCCACAAAGAGATTAGCCTTGGTACGTGGGTCATGTGATCACAAATAGGCGGGGCTATTTTTAATGTCTATCGTGAGCGCAGAGTTGCTATAAGCCACGCCCTAAAACACTTTAGCAACACCCACTTTTTACCCCCTACGCATTCCTCTCCCTCATCACCCCATAAACCGCCCTCACAGGCTGACACCTCCGTGTACATTATGAATGCACACTATACGTACATTCCTCCTCCCCCCTACACGCCGCAGCACAGCCAACAAAGGCAGACACACGGCCCACATCCCACACAGCGGGAGACCTATGGGAGTACGGGAAGTCACATGACGCTGCTGACCCCGCCCACTGAATCACGGCGGGCGCAGACATCCTTCTTCTCCGCTCTCTGCGAGTGGAAACATCAACAGGGCGATGACGTCATGGTAGTGGGCGAGGTCGCGGACTAAAGAAAGGCGCGGCCACACCCGGGGGAGCTGGCTGACCAATCAGCGAAGGGCGGAGACAGGCTGCGGACGGTGTTTGGTCCGTTACACTTCCGAGATTGGAGTTCACACGTCGGAGGACCGAGGGGGGGAGACATCGGTGAGAGAGAGCTGAGCGCGGACACACCATGGCATACCCCGGATATGGAGGAGTGAGTAGAGCTGGGGGGATGGGGGGCAATGGCTGCTGCTGCGGGAGGAGGAGGGGGGCCTCATCCACCGTGTGTGACACAACATGGAGGGAGCGATGTCTGGGCGGTCTAAACCAGTCTGCTACTGAGGAACCACAAATCACAGCGCGCCTCTGAGACTGATTGTTCATCCATAGGCCCGGAACCTCTAGCTGACTCTATCTATGATGCGGTTTATTACGATGGCCATTCACTGAACAATCTGATTGCACGATCTCCTTTAGGCTAACCATGCTTCGTGCAATCTGATTGTACAATCTCCTCCCACCAGCATGTAGTACTAGGGCCTATCTGATATGATGCCTATGAAATGGATTGCTGAGGCCTGTCCTCGTATTACATAGTTTTAGAGGTTGTACAATCTGATTGCATGATGTCTGACCATGCACCCTACAATCAGATTGTGCAAGCCCTTTAGGGTCATCATACATGTTACAATCAAGCTGCACGCTCACTCTTAGAAGTATAATATGAGGGCTGATCCTAATCTATACAATCAGACCAACCCTTACACCACAGTTGTTGGTAGATCTAAAGGAGATTGTACAATCGTATTGTATAGTGTATGGGGAGGTGGGGTGTCCAAAGTTACCAGCACTCATACCTTAGCATCCCAGGACGCTACAATCCGAACGTCATTACTAATGAATTTCCTCTTAATACAGCGCGCAGCCCTCCTGCTGTGATGAAACCACAAATCCCATCATGCCTCTGGCTCTTGGAGCTGTGCCTGTCAGTCTTACAGTGCATCATGGGATTTGTAGTTCAACAGCTGGAGTGCCCAGGTTGCCTACCCCTGGTGTAATAGATTGGTTTGGGTTTTTTTCCGTCCTCGAACGCTCCCTTTTGGTCGCGGTTATAAAATGTTGCCGTGGACTCCTTGGCTATTAAACAGCTGTGTTCAGAAATAAAAATAGCGTACGGCTCTTAAATTGTGTGTGTGTGTGTATGAGGCCTAAAGACCTGTCTGAGAACGAGAGGTCAGGGAGGCGGACTCAAGATGGCGGCATAGGAGGAGGGGGGTACTGTGGATGGGAGGAAGGCAACGCTGGACTCCGGACCGGTGAGCGGCGGGGTACAGCAGAAAGGGGGGTTGTCGGTGAGCGGCGGGGTACCGGGAAGGGGGTCACTGGTGCGGCGGGCTTTAGTATTGAGGTGACAGGTTCTCTTGAACTCCACCATGAAATCTTCACAGAAGAACTTTGTATCCAAATGTGACATTCTTACAGGTTTGAAATCTCATTCACAGAGGGGCCCATTCACACCAGTGCGCTGAAGACGTGGGGGGAGGGGGGGTTATCAACACATAGCAACCAATCAGCTTCCCTTTCATTTTCAAAGCTTAACTGAGGAAACTGAAGAGAGACGCTGATTGGTTGCCATGGGAACTGCTCCAGTGTTGATTGCTGTGCGGATATAACCCCATTGAAATCAATGGGGCCGCGCGGCAGCCGCTACGTGCAACCGGTTTATATGGGCGACTGCTCCGCCTTCCCCTCATGGCAGCCAACCGAATGTATAGAAATGAGTTAATTAACCACTCAATGACCAGGTGATAAAGCCCCTTAAAAAAAAAACCTTACCGGTGATTTTAATATTTTTTTACTATATAAAGTACCGAAAATTTTGAAAAAAAATCTAGAAAACTTTTGCTACTTTGGTATGAAACATTTATTATTACCCCAATTTTTTTGGTAAAATATAAAAGGCGGGGTCATGTCGACTACATAGACACCAACCATGTCAAGCCTTAAAATTGTGCGTGCCCACGAAATCGCAGAAAAAAGACCATTCCCAAAATTGGACAAATGCGTAGATTTTACCGCTCATCAGTTTAGAGTGAACAGTGATGGATGGCTCTAAAATTGTTATTTGTAGTCCAACGTTCGCGGTGATGTGTAACATGCGTCACAATCGTCATTTCCGCACATGGGCGCACCTGACGCATATATGCGTGTACTTTAAATTATTATTTCATTATGTGACTTAAATTTGTATTTTTACACTTTATTGCTATGGTGGCTAACAATCTCCCTTTGTGATAGCAAATATACAGTGACATGTCCTCTTTATGGAGACATCAGGGGTCTATTAGACCCCTAATGTCACCTAGTGGCCTCCAGTTAAGCTGATGAAGCAGAGATCTGCTTCTTCTCTGGCTATAGAAGCTGGAGAAATTACAGAGTGGTACCGGAAGTGATGCAATACACATCACTTCCGGGTCCAGTGATCAGAGATCAGTAGCTGGGAGTGTGCTGACCTCCCTCCAATCTCCGCATAGAGACCCACCTCGCTGGTCCTGGGCCCACACAAAGGGCAGTGGAGCCCGGGATAGCCGGTGGCACACTTGCACTTAACATACAAGCAATCGGCTGGCTCCATAGCAGCCCAAACGGTTGTATGTAAACGGCCATCGCCCGATGTTTGCATAGCCTCCAGTTTCCTGCTCATGCGTGCGCGGACGTTTACAAACACCCGCATGGAAGAGTGTCCCATCCGGCTGTTTATTTACAACGGCTGGACGGGAAGTGGTTAAGGTAACCCAAGAACCCCATTTCTATAGATTTAGTTGGCTAAAGTTTTTCACCGTACGGCAACATAACAGTGCAGATGGTGTACGGTGCATTGCTCTGTGCCATGAGGTACACAATGCACAGATACCGTGCCAGTAGCACACTGCTATGGTTTGAATAGGCCTAAAGGCTGTTGCTATCTGCTACTAGTCTTATGGGGGCCTGATAACACTGGGCCCCATAACAATCACATGGTGTACGATGGCTGACGTGTCAGGGAGAAGTCGCTTGTTTCAGATTCAATAACTTATCATTGTATGTAATAGAGAACGCACAAAAAATAATACAAGCAAATCAAACCTCTGATATTGTTTATGGTAAGTAATGTGTGACACTTGGAGGTATTTTTATTACCCGAGACAGTACTCCTCCTAACTTCATCTGCATTCCTTGCCAGAACGACGACACCATCTTTGTTCAAGCATCAACCAGGTCAACATCCATTTCCTGCACTGTGATATGACTCAGTCCTGTAATGGCCATTCTTGGCTGTGCTCACATGTGGCAAATCCAAGGGAAAAGGAAATGGAATATCGTATACAAATTTAGACTCTGTGACATGAAAGAAAGTGGAGGGGGAAATGGAGAGTCAAGAGAGTAGAGAGAAAAGGCATAGGCCGAAGAAAAAAAGGGTCTACGAGAACGCTCAGTTCAACAGGCTCATATAGAAAGTGAGAGAAGATCAAAACAAGGAGGTAAAAAGTGTCAAGGAGACCAACGGGCCTCAAAATTGGCCATAGTGTAGTCAAGCTTAGTAGTTCTCTTTTCATTGGCCGTCACCCAAGTGACTCTCCCTTTCACACTGTGAACACTCAGGGTGACTTCCAGGAACTAGCTATTTCACGCTGTGCCCCTGTATGCACGTGTGGAAAGTTTTTGGAAGAGGGCATCAGGTTGTCTATTGAGAAGGACAAGGGCAGGATCCTTAAGTATCGGTTTAGCCGCTAGAACTGAGAGGATGCGAAAAATATGATCCCAAAACTACAGGCCAGGACCACCAGATATCCATATAGGAACCTAAGTCACCGCAGCCTCTAAAACCGTGCGGGGAGTAACCGGGAACATGGGTAGCTATCTTTGTAGGGACCATGTACCACCTTAATAAAAGTTTGTGATTAGTCTCCAGCGCACCCTCACTCCTAGAGCAGTATTTAGAAGACCATATCGAGTCCACATTTCATTATCCAGTCATATCCCTAGATCTTCCTCCTATTTGGAAACTTATGAGGGGGGCGAGGTAGGGGAGGGAGTGGGCAGGACAAAGTCCAGATATAAGACCACGACTGGAGGGGGCTATCCCTGCAAATGTGTTTGAAAGAAGTCATAGAAGTGCAGGAAACAGGGTCCTACCATCTCAGTCATAAAGCCCCTTATCTGTAGATAGCGGAAAGCTGCCTAATGGGTAGTCCACAGCGGTCCTTGAGTTGTTGAAAGAACTTAAAACCTGTATCCAACTGCAATTTCCCAAAACCGGTAAGATCATGTTTCACCCAAATGGAGAAGGCCGCAGGGGAGTCCTGCGCTGACTGAAAAGATGGGTTGTAGAGAAAATAAAGCATGGGCAGGGTAGGAGAAAGTAAGCCGGTAGTCCACTTATGACGATCCCATGCCCTTAGAGCGTGAGCCATAGCAGGGGTCATAGAGACGGGCCTGTGTTTAGGAGAGCGCCACAAAGATGAACTATTCTGATGGGGTGTATCGATGCTGCTTCCAAGTCGACCCAACGGGGAATCTCAAAAGTTGCGTGGTACTTGGCAAATTGGCCAATTTGAGCTGCATAAAAGTATTTATAAAGGTTGTAAGCACCTAGCCCGCCAGAAGATAGTGGCAAGTATACAGTGCGTTGGGGGACTCTTGGATTTTTAAGGACCCAAATAAAACTGTTGACTAGGGACGCACTGTTACTAGTATTGGTGCCGATGTCGAGTATTTGGGCAAGTACTCGTACCTGCCAAATGCTCCGATACCTGGGCTTCTGGTGTCAGGAAGCTAGGCGGTGAGTCGTCACACGTTGCCCGGCGTCCAGATTGACCGGGAAGTCTGGTGACGAGGATGGAGCTGGCTTCCTGGCCAATCAGGAAGCCGGGTGCTGTGTAATGACTCGTTGCCTGTCTTCCGTACTGGCCAGCTTCTCGACCAATCATGAAGCTGGGCAGCGAGTCATTACATGGCGTTCGACTTCTTGATTGGCCATAAAGCCGGCTACATGCTTCCTCCTCACTTGGTGATAGAGACGGCTTCCCTGCTAATCGGGAAGCCAGGTTGCGAGTCTTTACACGCTTCCTGGCTAATCAGGTGGCGAGTCATTACACGCTGCCTGGCTTCCTTAATGGGACTTGGGTATCGGCGAGTACCAAAACAAAAATATCGGTACTTGTACTCGATACA